CAAGGTTTCAAATTCCTTAGTGAGCCACTTTGCTATTTGGTAGATAGGAGCTCCAATAGCTGACACGATGGGGCGCATTGATTTTCCCGGTTTGTGGATTTTTGGGAGGCAATATAGTTTCGACACCGTTGGGTTGGAAACTTGTAACTTCCGTTTCAGTTGAGGGGTAAGTATGTTGTCGCATTTCTTGAGGACATCTTTTACTTCGGCAGTCATCTTTGGTAACGGGTTCCTGGACAATTTCGCATACGGTCCGTTAGTAATGAGAGTATTGACCCTTTCGTAGTTTTCCGATTTATCCAGAATTACTACTTTGTTACCTTTGTCGGCTTTCAAATAAAAAACGTCCTTTTCTCTCAACCGTTTGATAAGTTTCTTTTGGTTTTTATTGTTGTTTATTGAATGCTTCAGTTTATCCATTATCTTGTTCTTGGAGATTTGATTCCTGACCTTTTCTCGAAATACTCCCTTCGAGGAATCGAACTTTCAACCCTAGCAATGATATCCTCAAGAACTTCTCGGAAGGCGGGATGCCAAATTTCAAACCGTTGTTCAAAAGGTTAATGTCTTCCTTATCAAACGATTGTGATGAATGACTTTCAACAATATTCATGAATTTCAGAGTGGTTTCATTCGGTTTATGCTTAGATATGAAGGTTTTGAGTTTCTTTTTGAGCGTACACATTTTTCTGATATATTTTGATTCAATCATCCGGAACATTCCTCTCTGAAAGTCATTCCATTGTACGTAATCATTTTCTTCTAATCTATATGTTAGTTTTTTATATAGACTATAACTATCTAATTCTAAGAGACTACGGTTAGTGTACAGATGATCGATTTCTTAATCAAGCCATTTTCTTTGGCGAATTTTTTGACTTTATCAGCAACTGAAGACAAAATTTGGAAAAATTGAATATCTTTTACAGCTCTTTGCAGATAAACGGAAGCATTCAATAAACAATAATAAAAACCAAAAGAAACTTATCAAACGGTTGAGAGACAAGGACGTTTTTTATTTGAAAGCCGACAAACGTAACAAAGTAGTAATTCTGGATAAATCGGACTACTACGAAAGGGTCAATACTCTCATTACTAACGGATCGTATGCGACATTGTCCAGGAACCCGTTACCAAAAATGACTGCCGAAGTAAAAGACGTCCTCAAGAAATGCGACAGCATACTTACCCCTCAACTGAAACGGAAGTTACAAGTTTCCAACCCAATGGTGTCGAAACTATATTGCCTCCCAAAAATCCACAAACCGGGAAAATCAATGCGCCCCATCGTGTCAGCTATTGGAGCTCCTACCTACCAAATAGCAAAGTGGCTCACTGAGGAATTTGAAACCTTGTCTATTGCGGAACCAAGTTTCAGTATAAAATACTCTTTAGAGTTCATACAACATACAAAAAACGTGGTTCTGCAAGAAGGTGAAATTTTGGTTTCTTTTGATGTTATTTCCTAGCGTCCCAATTCCACAGACCTTGCAATACCTCAGGGAATTACCAGAGAAAAATAATTTCAATAATAACGAAATCGATCAATTCGTTTCTCTTACTAATTTGTGTATGAAACAAAATCGGTTCCAGGTAGAAAGTTGCTTTTATGAACAACAGGAAGGAACGGCCATGGGAAACCCCTTGTCCCCCTACCTGGCAGACCTGTTCATGAACAGATTCGAAATGGAAACCAAAGGAAAGTCGAAGTATTTTCCAAGGGTTTGGCTAAGGTATGTGAATGCTATTTTCGCGATATTCGATACTAAAAAATTGAATATTGACAACTTTGTTTCCATTTTAAATAATAGATGTCCATCAGTAAAATTCACGTATGAGTTAGAAAATAAGGAACAACTACCATTTCTTGACGTTTTGGTAATTTGGAGCCAATATGGAGGGTTAGAATAAGATATATTTAGAAAAGAAACAAGCACGTACAGGTATATTCTTGACAGTTCACATCACTCTGGACAGCACAAACGTGCTGGGTTGAATTTTTTAGTGCATCGTCTTTTGACTTTTCCTCTAACACATGATAGGTTCACAAAAGAAACACGTACAATACAGGAAATAGCAGCCACTAACGGTTTCTCGAGGGGTATTGTAGATGACATAATAAAGAATATACCTATATATCATAAATAGGGTTAGCTCGCATTAATTTCTAGTTTTAATCTTCCTCTTTGAAGATGATAACTTGGTGATCGAACATGTCGAGGTGTTGAAAATAACGATTTGGTGTTGGGAAAAACTTCAGTAATATTTAGAACAGAAAGGTCAATAGACTAAAGTGAACACTCCTTCAGTCTTTGATTTCAACCATTCCATTATGAGAGAACCTTTACACGGTCCATATTTTTTTGAGGACGTTGGCCAGGCCATCATTATTAACGACGAGCACTATAGGCCTGAATTGGATGATCTGGACACCAATGACATGTGGTTTCAAGAGGACGGCGCTACGTGCTACACAGTTCTTGCAACATAGTATATTCACGAGCGATTTGAGGGCATCTCACGTGATAGTGATGTGAACTGACCACCAAATCGCAATTCGACCTTTTTAGCCTTTTTTTGGGGGGTGTTTTTTAAGTCGCAGGTGTATGCGAATAAGCCTCAAACCACAACAGTTCTCAAAACTGACATAACCCACGCCATCGGTCAAATTTAGCCTGATTTGTGCGCCAGGAGTTATGGAAAATTGGACGTTTCGGATGCGCTACACCAAGAGAAGCTGTGGTGGACATTTGAACGATGTTGTGTATAAACGAATAAAAAATTTCGAAATCTCACACACACTTTGTTTAATTTTAAATGTATTGATAGGAAGTGCTTAATGAAAGACCCTATATTATAACGGTTTCAAACTGTTTAATCAGTCACCTGGCCACGTTAAAATTTTAGAGGAAAACTGTAAATTTCTGAAATCAGTAAAATATTTATTATGTGTTAGACCCTTTTATGGTTAGAAGAGCTCTGTAAGGACAGCTTTCTCAAATTCATTTTATCATCTGTATTTTTAATATGTATCTAGACAAAGTAGTATTGTTTCTTCAATGTGTAATATCTCACTTCAGTATCTGTATGTATTGTATGTGTTTGGATAAAAATTTTTAATGTATGTTTATATTTGTTCACATATTCATGTCTTTACTCTGTATTTATGTTATTTCAATATGATTTGTACTCTGTATGAATGTTTATGTGTGTTTATATGTATGGTGACTGAAGAAAATTTGCAGCTTTGTCGAAAAGACCTGATGTTTTTTGGACAATAAAGCATATTAATAATAATAATATTATTAGGCTTTAGTCATCTCCTGATGATACTAGCTTTGCTAGCGAAACGCTCGTCGAGAGACCATACTTTGTTCAGGTGTGGGAAAAGTGATTTCATTAAATACATTTTTTATGTCAGAGGTTCCAATTCTACCTATCAAAATAGTTGGCCATATTTTCTTTATTTCTATTTTCATTCATGAGATAAGAACCCTATCATGTTTTTATTTACCCTACTGTTTGCATGAATACATTTGTTTTTCATCTTTTTTAGAGGTGTACTCCAAAAAGCAAAAGAAAGTGGCCTTCATTCTGTAGCGTTACCTATCATAAATTCTGTGAAGAGAAATTATCCACCTGAAGAAGGGGCTCACATTGCACTCCGTAAGTTGAATACACAGATAATCATGTTTATGTCATTGTATGGTTTCACCTTAGCTTAGACGCATTATTGGTGTTGATAATAGTGATAATTAGCAAACTGATAAAGAAAACAACGTAAATATACACCCGAAACTGATAAGGAACACTTGTTGAAATCAATACTAATAAAAGATTATTGGCTTCTCCATCATTTCATTCTCTCAGCGTTGAGCAGTATATATTAATTTTAAAATCATTTTGAAAACTAAAACTAGTGTGTTCTCAAAATATTAAAAAAGGGTATCTAGAAACACAGTTCAGGTCTCATATTTTCATTGAATTAGTAAGTACCAGGATTTATATTAACTTATATTTCATAATAACCACACCCAGACACAACGTGTTTTGATAAAAGGAAGTCGATATAATTTTTGTTAAATTTCCAAATGATTTTGCTACCGTAAAGCAAACTGAAAGATGTATATTAACCTCCCGCCTGCTGGAGCACTAAAGACAGGGTTGTTCTGAAGGTAAAAGTGTCCTGAAACTTGAACTTAACAATGAAACACCAACTAAAAATAAATGAAGAAGGTCATTAGAAATATTTTAATTGGGTCAAAAGTAGTAGATACTCAACTCTTATTCAATAAGTACTTATGAACTATGTCAAAATCAAAAAGTTGCTTTCAATATAAGGGTCGTTTCTTTTATCACGTGGTAACATTGCTATATTCTAAACCATAAAAGATACGAAGACGATAAAATGGGAAAAATGGTAACTGTCATCGGGAACAATACAATGGTCGAAGAAAATTTACAGGGACTCTCGCCCTTCTCGAGTTATAAGGAGGAAACAAAAAATGCTGTTTTTCGTTCTTTTCGAATGGAATTGTTATTTCGGAGAATGTTAAAAAATTGAAAAGGAAAATGTTATTGTATTCGAAGTTTACGATGACAATGTAATAATGAATATTTGATAAAACTTTTCGTGTCAACATGGCCACCATTATCAAATACGGATCTATTTTATTACAGATATTTATAAAGCAATAAACTCACAATACGAGGGTATATCACATTTGATATTTTTATAGCGTTTCATTTGAAATAACTAACATCAGTGGCAACATTTTTAAATTACGGTCCTGTCGTTACTTCTTTGTACCCTAACACGATGAAAATTCGTACTTTTTCGATTGGGAAATTTTTGTATTGCTGTAATCCTTCTTTCAAGGCTTATTTCTCCCTAATCAATTATAGTTCGTAATATTTTTATAATTCTCATTTTGTTACCATCTTAAACGTGTAGGCTTTGCTTGGTTTTTATGACAGGAAAAATGAATGCATTGTTGATATCTGTTGAGAACTATCAGACGTTTATGAACATATCAAAGATGTATTCAAATGATGAAAGGTCTGATATGCTATTTAGTTATGCAAAATCAAATAGAAATCCTCTTTTGGCAAGGAATATGTATGTTGAGCTATACCCGAATTGTCGTATTCTGAACATCCAAATGTTTACATGATTAGAAAAAAATTTGAGGGACTATGGTGCATTTGACAGAAAGAAAACAAGAAAAGGTGTAGTTACTGGGAGTGTGAGGAATCAAATATATTTTATGGGTAAGCAAATATTACCACATAAAAATTTATACAGTGAAAACATCTTTTTTTTTTATTTAGGATTGGCCGGTTACAAAAATTATGCTAATCAAGATTGTTTTTTACGAGAAATTGCCCACGAAATGGTGATTTCTGTAAAATCCATCAGAACTATTTTGAAAAAGAACAAATATAAATGCTACAGGATACGCAAAGTTCATCACCTCAATGAAAGGAATCATGGACTGAGAGTACAATTTGCGAAGTGGTTAAGACATAGAAATAGGAAAGTTGGAAATATTTGTAAAAAAATAATATAGACGAACGAATCAAAATTCACCAACCAAGGTGGAATAATACAAATGAACATTTACATAGGGAAACCAATTTTCAAGAAAGGTTTGAAATAAATGTTTGGTTGTGAATTGTGGGAACAAACATCCTTGGCCCTTTTATGATGTTTATTTGAATAGTGAAATGTATCTTCATTTTTTATTCAATGAAGTCGATGGCTACTTAGATGAATTGCCACTGAATATCCGCCATGAAGTACAATATTTTCAACTGTACGGGTCTCCTCCCCATAATGAAGCAATAGTAAGGAAACATTCAGATGCAATATTCCCAAGGAAATGAATTGGAAACAATGGACCAATTAACTGGCCAGCTCGATCCCCAGATCTGACTCCTTTAGATTTTTTGTCTGGGGATACATAAAGGATAAAGTTTTTTCAATACCAAATGCAGAAATCGACCATCTCAAACAAAAAATAACAGATGCATGTATTAGTATTATACCTATTATGCTAAAAAATTGCTACATAAATTGTCTGGACTGAAAACTTATGTGCATTCAAGAAAGAGGTCGTCAATTCGAGCATTTAATGTAGATTGCCATGTAGCTTTGATTTTCTGTATTGATTTTCCCAAAAGTTCATGATAAAATAAATTATTTTTCTTTTTGATTGTTGTCACTGATGATGGTGATTATTTCAAATGAAACGCTATACAAATATTAAATGTGATATACCCTTGGATTGTGAATTTATGGCTTTATCAATATCTGTAATAAAAAAGACAGGTCCGTAATTCAAAAAAAGTCGATGGTGGCCATGTTGACACGAAACGTTTTGTCGAATATTTATTATTACATGTCATATTATACTTCGAATACAATAACATTTTTCTTTTCCATCTTTTGATATTCTCCAAACTACCAATTCCATTTCAAAAAACGAAAAACAGCATTTTTTTTCCCGTATAACTCGAGAAGGGAGAGTGTCCCCGTAAATTTTTATCGACCGTTGTATTGTTCCCGATACAAGGTGACTTTTTTCCCAATTAATCGTCTTCATATCTGTTACGGTTTAGAATATAACAATGGTACCACATGATGAAAGAAACGGCCTGTATTCAGAATAGTCAAACTAAAATGGAGCAAAGTCTTCATCCTCAGGATATTTTACTAACCGAGTAGTGTGAGCACCTAAACCAATGTAACTCTTTACAAAACTTTTCAAAGCGAATTTCAAGTGTTTCAAAGTGACATCTTACAAGATAATTCATATCATTTACAAATTTTGGAGTGATTATCACCCACGTTTAGGTAGTGGAAGTATCAAAAATATCGTAAAAGAGTATCCCCTTTCTGAAACTATTTTCGAAGTTCCTTTCAACAGATTGGTTTCGTTTTCATATAGCCTTCCCTAATAACCCCAATCAATGAACCACACATGTTTTTATAAACCAAAAGTACAATAAAGACTGATTTCAATTAGCATCATTCTGTCCACTACATCATAGTTGTTACCGAAGCCAAAAGGCCTGTTATAGAGTACCACACTTGACAATCTGACAAAGTTTCCATTTGAATAGTAAGTAGACGAAGCTGAAAATGAATGATAAAACATGGTTCTTCAATATGTTGATATAATTAATACCGGAACAATTAAATACATTTTACAGATCAATAAATTTTCAAGTACAGGTGCTTGTCAAGTAATATTTTGAGTTTTATAGTTTATTTTGAAAAAAGGATATTTCAATCGTGTTTTTTTCACAAGAGTTCTGACCTTACATATATTTAATTTTTTATCAGTCTTCATGAAGAATTTTCGAGAATATCCAAGAAATACTACATAATTTTTTGGACATATCACAAAACCTTCACCATGCAATTTTCTCAAAAAGTGAAGTAAAAAAACTTCAAAAGTAACTTACATGTATATTTTACTCAAATATATCTTGATTTTTCTCTACAAATACATTTTGATATGATTTTACGTTTTCCTCTATTCCTCTTTGTATTTATATTTTGTAAATGCTTCTTTTGCTAGCTTGAAAAGGTTTATCAAGGGTACTTCAACCTTTTAGGCATACTTGTTGAATTCATACATTATTTATGTTGTTAGAATAAGTATTGGTTCTAATATCTCATTTTATAATATCTCCTTTTTACTTTCAGGAACTGTGCGAAGATTCCTTGAACATCACGGCAGTTCATTAGAAACTGTGATATTTGTTGTCAATAAAGTAGATTTAGGTATATACGAAGTACTATTACCATTGTACTTTCCACGATCCAAACTGGAGGAAGAATCAGCCAGGTATGAGTAGTTTCAACACAGTTACTTTATTGAGACATGTAAACATACTGATGATTCAACAATAGAGTACTCGCATAAAGTTTGAGCAGAACATGCTATTTTTTAAGTTCTGATTAATTGAGTTCAACCCAAAAAATCAGCGGCACTCATATCTTGTAAGTAAATTTTACCAAGTGAATTATTGTTTTTGTAAGAAATTGTATTAACCAAGATAGAATTTTATCCACTCTAACTTGCTTTAGTTTAATGTTTTCAAAACAAATAATATCATTCCGCTGCTCTATTGACGGCATACCATTAACAACAAATAGGGATGACAATATTATTGAAAAGAGAGCAAGTTCTAAATTTCTGGAGATGATTATCACAATGAACTTGAATTCAACAATCACATTGTAACCGCCAATAAGAAGCCAGCTTTGGGCTGTTTTGCAGTTAAAATGACGGAACCTAGGTTCGTCTACTCTAAATCGGTTCATTTCTTACTTGAGTCTTATTTAAGGTATAAAATTTTCTTGTTGCACATTTCAAATGTTCATCTGGACTGTTTTGTTTATACATACAGAAAGATTCATGTGTAATATCAAAAGTGGAAACAGAAAAATAGCCTGTTTTATCAAAAAAGTGATATTTAATAACTACTTCAATAAGTCTGTCCATTATGATGCACTGTTTGGAACCTTTGGTGTAGTAAAGAATATTACTGGAGTTTTATCCCAACACCAAACCGTTATTTTAACACCTCGACACGTGTTTCGATCACCAAGTGATCATCTTCAAGGGGAAGATTAAACTATAATATTCAAGTCTATCCATGATAATAATTAAACAATTTTCACAAACAGTTTTTATTTCTAAACCGTGTTAGCGAAACGCGCCTAGAAATAAAAAATGTTTGTGAAAATTGTTCAATTATTATCATGGTGTAATGGTGAGTCCAGTCATACCTTAATAATTATATGCTTTGTTAAACTAATTACCTAAAGTGACCCATACCAGCCTGTATTCTAGTTGAAGACTCTATATATATTACAATGGCCTTCAGATATTTAATCATTTACCACTACCATAACAGAAAAGATCAAATCGTATCTACTAGCTACTGAAATACACAATACCATTATTATTATTTTCATTATTCAAAAGTGGCAGATTGACAAGAGTAATATATAGTTTGATCTTAATAATTATTCTGAAAAATCCTTATAATTTCAATATAAAATCAAAATAAACAATAAAAACCATTGATAATTGAACTATCATTTAATGCAGTTCTGCTCTACAAATCATCCAAGCTACTTTTATGCACTTCTTTAATTTTTGAAGATAATCATAGTGTCAGCTCAGAATGCACCAGAAACATGAAAAGAAACATATATGTGACCAACAATACTCGAATATTATATTTCACCACATTCTCATCAATTGTCTAATACAACCACAAAAAATGGAAATAATTCATATGTGAGGCCACTTGAATCTACTTCCGTGAGTTAGATTTCTCAAATAGCAATGATGTACCTAAATTTATTATTCAGCTTGAAAGCTGTTTCTCTTTTCATTCTGAAATGTTGAAGGTAAGTCTTTTTTGTGACAATGAACATCGAGATTATATCAGAAATAGGGAATAACCAAAATCAAAAAATTGTCAGAACACATTTTCAAATCAAATGGTTAACACCGAGTTGAATGGAACGAGATGTCAATGATTGCCAATGAACTCCACTCTGAGGGACGTAAACTCTAAGAATCAGCTTATTTATATCTGTAGAAAAGTGTATGTCAGAAAGCTCCTCAGAAATGGATTGTACTTAACTACTTGTCTTGATTAAACCTCATCAAGTGAAGATATATGAAAATAAATTCAAGAATGCCAACTCTGAAGTGTGACCTTTTGGACATGAGCACTTGTTAATTGAACCAAGTTTTTTATAATGTCTAACATGAACACGATAAATGACACATTAGTCACCCTTATAATGATTCAATTTATGAATTCAAGAGCTTCATTTTTTTATGTTTGATATCACAAAGTATAAAATTGGCATACTTAGAAAATTTGCACATAGAAGGTTTTCGATTAGTTCAATTAGTTTTCAATTAGCAGACCAACTATGTGTTGTGGAGGAGTTGGCATATAGCAAATTCCAAATGTATCCTATCGATATGTCAGATTTTTGTATTAGGCATAATTTTGGAACTTGCGGAGCAAGTGTTAGGAATCACACGTTAAAAGGTAAGACTTCGTTAGTCCTTAGCTCACACAAGTTTCTCAACTTCTGAGAGTTGTCATTCGTATGGGGGTGTCAGCTGAATAACGAAAAAACAGATTTTAACCATATGGGAAACTTTTTTTTCGAAAAGTTTCAATGAAGTTTAACTTCGGTACTTGTTTGTGCTTTAAATTTAACTTAAAATGATGCTTCCAACTGCGACCTACTGACGTCCAGTGTTTGTCAAATTCAATAAAGAATAGAAATAGTTTTAATATGTCGTGAGAATACACCATACCGGCAAGTAGCTAACAAAAATGAACGGCATCCAGGAAAAAATGTTCAACATACTACTGTGTCAAGGATAATGTCGAAATTCAGAGAAACAGGATCCGTAGCAAATCAATTTAAGAAAAAGCACACTCCAAGGAAATATGATGAATTTTAATTTATGTTCTATATCATTAACATCCAGTGGTGACTGGGCCTATTCGAGTACCTGACACTACAAGTACTGTAATTGTTCAAATATTTATAAATTTCTCTATTGAAGGAACTTGTTGTGTTCCAGATAATATTTCAGATCATGGGATCACTATTTTAGAATCAAATGCCTTCTATAGAGATTGAACTCTCCAAGTAGAAATTGAAAAGAAAGGAGATTTGGAAAATTCTTTGACACTGGAAAATTGTTAATGTATTGTTAACATAGACAATTTTAATGAGACTTTCAGCATTTTTTGTGATATGATATTGCACTAAATATACATGATCATATAATTGAAAACAAAAATAATGGTATCCAATGTTTTCATTCATGACCCCATTGACTTCCTAAACCAAATCCCTCACAACACAAACCTTTATTTTGAAAATGACTTCTGTTTAGCTGACTTTAATTGTTGGAAAATGAAACACTTGAAATCTACATTATATAACGTAAATTGTTGAGAACAACTTGTTTTATGTAAGAGGTTTGAAATCTCACTGGTATTCCCAGTTTTTTAGTTTTTTTTACAATATAAAATAACACTTGTAGTGATAGGCCTCAGTCTACCAATCTCTTGCTGATTTCAGAGATATCATATAAGTTAATCCTTGAAAAGAGTATCTTGGTGTACATACTTCAAACTTTAAGTGAGAGAATGGACGGTATTTATGAAATGATAAATGTGAGCATTATCATGCCGCCACCCTTGAAAGCTCAGGATTTCATTATTAAATCTAACATAAGTATCTGTCTCTGAAACTGTATCCTAATAAGTTCAGGTTAAACTAGCCAAAGCTTTTCAGTGTATATCGGTTACCATAGCATATATTTCAGTCATTCTCAATTGGTAAAACGCACAATCTAAAAGCTGGTCTTTTCAGGAAACCCTTATATGTATGAACAAATGTCATTACTCGCACTACACCGTCACCGTCAATATCGACGACTCTCCCCATGTCCCATTTTTTTTGGAAAAGAGGTTTCCTCTGTGATGACAAGCATATCTCCTCGTTGAACCGTGCAACTTTCCGATTTTGTTTGCCATTAGGAACATTCCTGATGGCTGGACACTCTGGACAGATATTCTGTGGACCACGTGGCCAAAAAATTTGGGACTATTTGGTTTGATATGACTTAATTTTTCTTATTGCAAATCGGTCTGCAGTGTGCTGCTAGTAGTGGTGATCCGAGGAAGAAATAAATGTCCTGACGTGAGCTTATTCAGATCCTTGGGATCATCGGAAAAGGGTGTCAGTGGACGGGAATTTAGACACTTCTATCTCTAGTTTCACTACTTTAGATGAACTGCTTTGGTCAAAAAGCAAACGAAAATGCATAAATAAGCTTTCACATACCTTTGATCCTATGAAACTTCATTTCAAAAAGACCTGCATAATCCACTCCACACTTCGAAAATGGTCCACTGAGTTTTATACAATTTTTGGTAAATCATCCATAATATATTTAAGACTGATTGGTTTTGTACGAAAATATATAATGCAATTATGATTAACGTTTTTAACAGAGCGCCCAGAAACGACCCAACGCTTCAGCCTGAATAATGCATGCAAAACTTGTATTCCCAAATGTACATTTTCATTATACTCATGTATACTCGAATTACACCATCTTTACTTTAGTGAAATTGGTTTGTTTGCTTCATGTAATGGATTCCCTGTTCTTAACGCTCTAATATCTTCCTAGTTTAATGAGAATTTCTGAAGCCTCATCAATCTCATCCTGTGAAAGATATCCCCTAATAATTCTACAAATTTTTAAGAAACCTAACATACGCCCATACCCTCTTCAGTTTTGAGAAATTGTATTATTTTTCAAGTAAATTCAGTGTCCACTTGTTTTACGTTCTTCTGATCTGGAATCTCGACTATGCCGTCAAAATAGACTTTCTTCAGCCACAAACATTTGTCCAATTTAAGTCACTTTGGGTCATGCCACCATTTCGAAATGATGTTCATTTCTCCGGAACAACACCTCTGGAAATGATATAAGTAGAATTTTCTCCCTGTATTGTCTCATCAGTTTGCATACATTATTGTGTGTGTTCAGATGAAATTGCTAAATGTATGTGTATGCTATTGGTACTTTATGAACTTGTTTGAAAACACATTTTCCTTCGGGTACTAGTTTTATAGTGCCTCTTTGTCAATAATACCTCTGGCTATTTGGGCAATAGAAAATATGATCTTCATTAGTTCGGATTCCATTGTCTAATATGATATAAAATGATTTGAATTCTGAAAGAACAAATAAAATTGAAAATTAAAGTGAATAGCTGA